AAGAATTCACAGATGCAGGAGGGATTTACGCACTTTGCACTCTGATTCTGACATTCAATTTATTTGAAACATTTCTATGAAATTAAAATGCTGTACAAGACGAACAAATTACAACTTGATACCTTATCAATAATTCGCCCGTGTGCTGTCTGTAAACGTCCCCATTCACATAACAAATCGACCAGAATGCCTACACCCGGAAAAGAACTTATCAAATCGATCAGATTTTCGTGTAACTGAAAAAAAACGACAATTCACCACAACAATTCCTCACATGAACAAATAACCAAATAAGTAATTTAAGTGACAATTAAGTGAATGAATCAATAATTCAAGTAACCAAGCAGAAACAATCACCTGTTTGATGTCAGCCAGTAACTGCACTCCAGTTTTATCGATACTACCGAAACTAGCGATATGCCAGTCGGTTTCAATCCGTCGGCTCAACGCACCGATCGTTGCTTTGGCGTCGAGCAGAACGCGTCTTCGATGGAAGAATCGCGAATCAAGAATATGATCCACTTTATTTGGATCGTTCAGAGATGAGTGCAATGCGACTCGTTGACGCGATAAACCACCGTGCTGAATCAATTACTATCGACTTTATTCCACAGTTGGCAATATGAGAGCATTACAATTTTTTAAATGTGTATAAAAACCAACCGCAAATCTCAGCGGAATGGCACTGGCTGTCCCAACGGTGATGTAGGAATGCACGTGATTCTCAACGCTGAATTGTTGAACGTGTAAATTGGTCGGAACGGCGCCGAAAGCCACTCGAAATTTCTCGATTGATGGACGGAAAGAAGGACCCGCATAACTCTCCAAAAATTCCAGAGAATTCACATAGGTTTCTTGATTGGACGAGATGCATCTGAAAGGTTTTCATTCAAAAATGAAACTTCCATTGAAATGGATGAACAATGAGAATTCAGTGTTCAGAAGTGTGCAAAAATATCCGAAAAGTGTGAGAATATTCAGTGACCTCAAGCAGTTATGCAAGCAATCGATCTGCTCTTGAGGCATCGACCAAAGTCTGGATTCCATTTGTAGTTTCATTTCGTGAGACCATTTCAGGAAAAGTTTCACCATTTGGGTGGGTAACAGTACACTCAATTTACTTTCCCACATAATTTCTTTGCAAAGAATTTTTCGCGACGGAAGACTTAAATGCTGAAAGATTAGTAATTTGAGAATTAGTAATTTGAATTGGAAAATTTTTGGAGGATAGTTGCTGGAAAAATGTGGAGAATTTGAGAATTCTTGTGTGAAATTTGAAAAAATTGTTATGAAGCTATAAGGTTTTCAGAGATTATGCTCTATCACATGCACTGAAAATGAAGAGGATTTATAGACGATTTCTGTGGATTTTCGGAAAGTGGCATAAAAATGGAAAATGTAAGAGAAACGAAGTAGAATTCACTTGCGAAACTGAAAATTTATGCGTTTTCTTGAAAGGATTCGTTAAATAGAACGATGTAAAGCCATTTGTAGTTGGAGAAGAATCAATGGTGGACGATGGCGTTGCTATATTGAAGAAACGATCGGCGACCTCGTCCAACTCTGCTTGAGCCATTCGATGTGAACAAACAGCCAACTGCACGTTGAAACGAAACTCTTATGCAAATTTAGGGCCGATACAGAAATTTGCACGAAAATTCATATGAAAGTGTAAAAACTGAAATGACACTTCATATGAATATACCAAAATTTGTATAAATCAGTGAAAGAAACTCTCATTATCCATGTAATCTTCTTGCAAATTTTCAATATTAGCTGTATTCAAATTCTGTTTGAATTCCATGTAATAGGAAGGAATTGATTCATTCGCACAGTAATTTGAGTGCAAAATGAATTGGAAAGATTTTGAGAGGCGCT